TGAGGTTAGGGGAAAGGGGTTGGTTCTGAACGGGGATGGACCGGACATTGAAGAGGGTGAAATTTTGTGGAAGGAAGAACCCTGGGTGCTCACTTCAGATTGGTACGCCACCCGTTGTGGATAATTGGAAATACTAACGACCTACAAGGGACGTGCTTTCTCAGCTACAACAGACAAGTCTATGTGCACATTGTTCCTGTCCACTCTACCTTCGCAACCCAAACTCTATTATCCGATGCGACCACTGCGTCAACGCCAGCTCCTCTTCGACCATTCGCTCCCTTAGCGCATTCTGTAACCGACTATGTTACTCGCGTGCTCAAAGCAGCTATCATCCTTTCCTATGCCCGGGCCAAAACCCAGCTTGCGAGCCATTGTTGGAGTTGCTCAAGGCGAATGACTGGAGCGCTCCTCATTCTCTAGCACGCGTTACGGGAAAGTTACTGAGTAGCTGGAGAGATGCACAGATCGGAAGTGGGAGTGGGGGAGGTGTGAAGAAGGATGGGGGTATTTCGTGGGAGAGCGAATGCAAGTTTTTCGATGCGTTGGCAGCGTGGAGTCTAGAGGACAAGTGGCGTGCAGAAAAGTGAGGTTTCTCCGGTTCACTCACCCTTTCCTACTATCACAACTCACACACATATACATTCATTCTTTGATAGCAAGGAGATTACGGCGGCGGAGAGGGCCAAGTGGAAGCAGGCGTACGAGTTGTATGTGGCCACGTTCCATATGCCCACCAGTACAGAAGGGAAAAAGAAGTTGGCGCAGGTGATGAAGCGACAGGGACCGTTACCGGATCAGCTGTTCAAAAAGCTCTTTACGTATGATGCGTTCATGCTGAACGTGGGTCGAATCAATCTGAGTACGTCGAATGTTTCACATCTGTCATTACTACCAACCACAAACGTGTCTAATCTATGTTGTGGGTTTTGTCTAGATCGAGAGTCTTATGGGGGACTGTACTTTTTGCATTCCCATATCAATCATTCGTGTCGTCCCAATGCGGCAATTCGACACCTCGACTTGCCAGGTCGGGTGGATGCGCTTCTACAGCAGGGCAATATTGTCTTCTCCCCCGCGACACTGGCCAAACTAAAAGCCACTCAAATAACGAATCCGTCCCCAACGAGACTGACCGTTCTCACTTTGCGGAGGATCACGGGTGGAGAAGAAGTGACAGTGTCGTATATCGATCCCACGCTGAGCCTCAAGGAGCGCCGAAGAGAGTTGAGGCAGTGGGGGATTATGAGCTGTACGTGTGATCGGTGTGTGGAGGAAGAGAAGGCAGCTGGTGAGGTGAAGGGAGATGTGCCGGAAGAGAGTGAGGGGTCTGGTGGGAAGGGAGTGGAGGATCTGGAAGGAGAGTTGAGAGGCGCGTTTGGGTTGAGTGTATAGCTTCCATAGATTTCCCCCGCACCCATTGTAGAGTGTGGCCGATTGTAGAACCTTCCTGATATCAGAATACATATCATATCGCGCGCTTGAGTGTGACAGTGAACTGAAGGCTCAGAGAGGGGATGTACTGGATATTCAGCTCATCAGCGCTAGTTTACTTGACCATCGACGTAACTGGCAAGTAAACGAGCAGCCTTGTCAAGACTCTCGCCGGTCAAAGCAAGGTCGCTGTACCTAATGAGAGGTTTAGTGAAAGATCAGACTAAAGTAGATGAACTTACGTTCTCGAATGAGACGCCACTCCTTTCCTCGTATCCTTTTGCGTCCATTGCATATCGTGACCTTGTAGACCGTGCATCACGTTGAACCGAAAATACGTTCCTTTCTCCCATACACGACTAAAGTCTTGGTGCACAATTTCTGTATCTCCATCCAATAGTTTGGTAACGCGCTCGCACACTCTGTCTCTGGCCCAGCGCGTGACGGCGGTAAAGTGACGTCTGATAAAGCCGAGCTTGATGTGATGTCGGGCTTCGAATGTTATTGCTCCTTTGTGGCCAGACCCAACGCTAATGATGCACCGCACGGTGTACCCGTTGAGCATTTGCCGTGGTAGCGCGTTGCGTCCTTGGGATGCACGAACAATGTTGACGCTCTCTTGTAGAACAAGTGGAACTGGATTGTTGTCTCTTGGATTTGCAATATAGTTTTGTTCACCTATGTAAAGGTATTACAGCTCAGAGGTAGGTCAAGGAAGGGGTATCATCGTACTGACCTATCCTAATTGGGTCGAATATTTCGGGAACAGCCAAGGTTGCTCGAATGGCTTGCCAGATCGTACAGTCTATGTCGGTGATCGTTCTCAGTCTATATGAACTAAGGATGACGGATGACCTCGAGCTAGTGTCATGTTTGGCGGTGACAAACCTGCAGAAAAGGGTCTAGATAAGCAAAATGCAGCTGGGGCTGTCGTTAAAAAGGGCAGGACTCACGAATGACATCCAGGTTTCTCTCTCTTCATCATCGTATCGGGGTCTCCGGTGGCATCTTTCACAATGCGTTTGGCAAATTGTTCGAGCTCGTTGCTGCTGAGGAGGGTCGACGAGGGCGAGTTCCATGTGTTCCACACGAAAGCTGTTGCGATTGAAAAGAAGAGCAGAGCAAATCCTAGGGTTACCCGGCCTTGCCTAGACTGGCCAGAGTTGGAAAAGGCATCTGGGCGATAAGCACCTGATAGTGCGACGATGGCGACCAGGGTGCTCAAGATCCAACTCCAGTGAGATCTAACGAGCAGAAAGAAGAGATTAAGTAGGTATTTGGCGCCCCTGCCGTTGTCGTGAAAAACCTCGTGTTGGAGTCGTTCCAAGATTTCGATGCTTTGGTCGACGGTAAGGCCCAGTCGGCCTAGTAGAATCGCATTTAATCCACCTATTCCGGTTCCTGCAATGATGTCCTGATCAATATCTCCGTCAAATCCTCGAACAGGATCTTCGAACATCGGAAAAATGGTACCTACAAAGCACTCGCAGGGGCGTAGTTCAGAAGCTTGTGCATCCTCGTCTCGTGGGTTTGGACGTTTCGTTCTTTGAATTTGGTGAATTCGATGCATCAGGTCCGCAATGATGTACAGCTGAGAAATGCCTCGAAAGTCACCGCCATCTGCAGGAAAAAAGTAATATAACTTAGATAGGTAAGTCGAAGACGACACCAAGGTTATAGCTACCGAGTACTAAGACTCTGTGGGTCGGCTGATGCAGGTTCGCCATGAGAAGTTGTGGGGGAGGATATGATACAGGGCGCAACTGACGAGGGAAAAAGTCAAGAGATATGGGAACAAGTTTAGATTTTCATTATCCTGGGATACTGTACAAGGGGTATACGAGACGGCTGGAATGAGATGCAGCCAAGTGGCGTTTGCTTTGTCCGGGTTTTGACTTGACGAAAAGAATACGTGAGCATGTGCCCGTCTCCCAGTCTCATCTCCAGAGGAGCAATTCAACGCAAAAATGATAGTGAGGGTGGTTGGGAGATAGTCGGCTGTGCCCATAAATTGTGCGAATTCAATTATAGGTGTTGCGGTCATGTCCAGAACCTATCGAAGCCTGCACCGGAGTCACCTCGATATTCAGCAGGGAGATTCTGGGGCGAGAGTCGAGTTTCATCTATATGTAATAAGCATCGTTCATTGTGTGTAGGAGATTAAATGCAACTCTCCGGTGAGGCCAGTAGCCCATAATGTGGAGGGTAATGGGCCGGGGTAGTCGTAAGCCCTTGTGTGGCAATATAGCCTATTAAGACAAGAAGGACAACCGAATTGACCGAGTTGCTCAAACACAGGCGGTTCCTCACCTCGTTGCCAATCGGCCACCATACAGTTACCATAACGAGGCTTACCTGGTCAACCTTCGATAGACATGCAATTGTACAATGAAGCGTCCTATGTACTTTTCTTCATCCAATAGAGTTGGGTGCTGCTTCGTATGAATGCAAAAGTGGACCATGCTGCCGTATAGGCGCCCTTCAATTTTAAAAACAGGATCGAAGTTTCAAGGAACACAGCAACGTGGCAACTAGCCACAAATAGGAGGATTGAGATCGGGAGCAATACGCAGTGAGATTCGATCTTGCAGGGATTCGTGCAATTTCTGGGGGAGGACTGTCCGGTGAAACGAAAGGGGAGGGCGAGAGGTAGGACGAGCAACGAACCCTCTCGGTGCCTCTCTCTGGTCACGTCCCCCTGAGCGCTTGGGTGAAACTCTTCGGCATACTCGAAGGTTTTGATCGTGTCATTGAAAAATCCGATGTGGCGAAGACACCTTCTCGACTCGCACGGGGGTAAGCGAAGGGGTTGGCCATTCAGAGCAAGCCCCGGAGCGGCGAGAGCAACGAAACATGTTGGGTGTTTTGATACATGAGCCTGGACGAATAAGATCATCAGAAGCCATGTCAGGGCGTGTGGGGCGGAGATAGGTTCTGAATGCGCTGGAACTGTGCAATAGGCCGAGTGAAGACGGTGAGAGAACTGAAAGACGGGGTAATCTCGAGACGTACCAAGGCCTCGAGGCTTCTGCACTCTATCACACTCTCAACATTTCTAATATGTTGTCAGAGGAGATTCCCATACTATGTATCCCCAGGGAGGACGTCCAAGTGTCTGAGCCCGCTATAATAGAACACGGCTTCCCCCACACGTCGACCGGAGCCCGTGGCCCTGTACATTCACATGATCAGCAGAGTGGTAGTTAGTTTCATCGTAGCATGCGAAGTAGGGCCTGAACGGCGGGTGCCGATAACTGCATTCGAGCGTTCGGATGAATGCAGGAGTCAGGAGCCTCAACCAAGCTCTACAGTCACAGCGAAGAGTGCTGAATCACATTTTATGCGTTCTCTCTAAATTAGAGCGGATAATACTCTGCTCGTTCGCGATGGGGGGCGAGTCCTAGTATTGGCCGTTCTGCCCGCCGGTGCATTATGATTGTTCCTTCGCGATTGCAATGTATAATTAGTCATTACGGGGGGGCTGGGCTGACCCGGAAAGCGAGTATATGATCGAGCAGGAGGCAGCAGGAGCTTTGATCGAGGTTTTTGTCCAGATATCGCTCCTGAAAAGCCATTTATCAGAGGTTAAAATTTGAAAAAGCTGACGGCCAAAACGTGGACACTTGCGTTTGCAGTCAAGATCAGTGGCCAAACTTTACCAACTCTTCTTTCTCCTCCTCCCCCTCGCTCTCCGACCTCCCCCCTCGCGCGTCACGCTCTCCTTTCGGGCTCAACGAGCTCCTCGACAGCATCAACGCGACTACAACCATCCGACAAGCAGCATACACCTCTGCAGGACCGGTCTAGTACATGGCTGAAGTAGGATATGCCCAGTATCCAACTGCCCCCGCAGTCCCAACACCCGTGTACGTGCTAATCTCCCTTTCAAAGTTATCGAGTAGAGCGGTTAGTTTGCGTCGCACACCCTTGGGATGCCGTCGCTCGATTTCCAAACCGCTATCGACGATTGCCTTTGGCAGGGCCAAAATGGCCGCTGCAACTTATACGAGATACCGCCATGCTCTACTCGTGTTCTTCTTGCTGTACGAAACGCTGACTTTTGTTTTGTCTAAAGGAGGAGGGAATATGAGATTATAGGTTGGTACACGCCGCTCCCGTTCAGTAACTCGTGATCGCTGACCTAAGACACTTGCAGTCCGTCAAGGTGAATACTTTGTGCATTGCATCTAGATTGAATGGCATCTAACCGTGCATCATGTATCAAGAGCCTAAGCAGGCCAGAATGTACGTTTACACCGTGCCTCCCACTGCTGACCGTCTCGTTGACCCATTTTTATAGGTGCGGGGTTGGTGGCAAAGGTGCGCCCGCATCTCTAATTTTTCCCTTTAGCCTCTCTAACAGGCAGTGTCTAGCGGACAGAAGACCGATCGACCCACCACCCATAGTTCAGTTACGAGTCTACGATACGATACCTTCCGATCCAAATGACCCAAATTCAGCAAATAATCCCGCTCATCAAGTTCATCAATCGCTCAATTTCCTCCAGAACCCCTACTTTTT